CCCCCCCCCCCCCCCAGCCAGGTTCGCCCTCTGTCCCGTGTTGTATTTCGCGAGTCCCGCAGCACCTCCTAGCGGAAGCGGACATTAACCGCCGCTCTCGCCGCCGCCGGTTCCCCACTTTCTCCAGCAGGAGTCGCTCTACAGTCCTTCCTTTCGCCATCCTCTCCCTGCCTTCGTTTTCGGGCGCGGGGTAAGGATCGCGAAGCACCAAGCCAGGCTGCTCTTTGCACCGACTTCAGACTAACGGGGCCGTTGCGAAGACCCCGAGCGAGAGCGTCCCAAAAAGCTTTTACTACGATTCTGCTTTTTCTCACACCTGGGACTGAATCGCCAGGCGCGGGAAGAAAGCGAGCCTTTTCATTCGAATCAGGAAAGGAGTTGCACATTTCGGTCTATTGACCAATATGCAAAAATGCCCCTTGAGTGTCAAGTTGCGGGTTTGTGCTTCGTGGAACCAGACGCCTCCCCGCCCTCTCCCTCTAAGTCGAAGGGCAGCAGAATTGTCGTGGGCCGCAAACAAGATGGGGGAGGGTGACCCCGCAATCCGGCCCCTCCTCCCCCGCAGCACAGAACACAATGTCCTTCAAAAGTATTTTTATTGATTTCTTAAAGTTAATATATGCCACTGATTTCGCTGTCAGGGAACCGTAGGCGGCTTACAATCCAATAAAATAATATCATAGACGATTAAAACACTAGGGCAATAAATTTCACATTAAGATTAGCAGAAAAATACAAGGATGGGTATACAATGGAGTGGGGGTGGTATCTTCTATTTAATTGCAAAATCACAGCCTCCATCTTTGCCTTTTGGACACCCATATGTGTTAAGTCCGGAGAATAATGGCGCTTGAGACGAAGCATTTCTAACAAGTCTTTATTCTCTGCTTCCACTCTACGAACAACCCGAGCAGAGGCACGCAGGCCTCTATTTATACCTTCTGATCCCCGGGCAAATCCAACCAATCACAAGGCAGTCTTTTCCCGCCTTGCGCATGCGCGCAAGGCTGGCGCCACTCAGTCTGGTCCCGGGCAGCTTTTGCAAATGCCCGGGACTCTTGCAACGTCCCGAGCCTGCTCTTGCAGGCTCAGGACACAACAATATGAGTCCCTGCAAATGTTAGCTGATTCCTTTGTAGAGCTGCAAACATAACTGATCCCTCTGTGGAGCAGAAAAGTATTCTGCACTCAGATGACATCTGTGTTGCTGTTCCTGTCCCAATTCTGGGTGAAACAGCCATGCCGAGGCTGCTGCTCCTTGGGTACCTTATGAACAACTCAATCATTATCAAAAGGATAGGGACATGGGAGCGGGAGAATGTGTACCTGGGTGGTGTAAAGATTGTGGACCAGACAGAGGTTGTGGTGCATTGATAGCCAAGAAATGGATGAATATCACCAGTTTAGCCTGGAAGGCAAATTTTGATGTCTGAGAATCTTAAGGAGGTTCAAGTAAGAAAAATGCTATTTCTCCTACTTGCTCGCAGACCTTTAGTGCAGTCATGAGGGGGGGGGGGGTTAGACCTTAATCTAAACTTAATCTAAACTTTAGACTGAGTGTGAGAGGCTTGGGACCATTTTTGGACAAGCTGGATCTGTACCTAAAGAGATAGGCCCCACTTGGATGAGAACGATGCCCACCAGATCTTTGGCCCATTAATTCATTAATTTGGGTCCAACCAGAATAAGCTATGCGGGTTAGCTATGGGAAAAAGTGAGCTGAAAGGATGTAGCAGCAGCAATTGAGATGACTTCCTGCAAGTGTTCCAGGTCTTGGGGGCCAAAAGTGAGGGAAGGAGAAGAATTTCTTTTGAGGAAGCAGGAGATGACATGCAGAGGAAGTTTCAAGGCCAAGTCTCCTTGGAATCAAGCTGACCTCCGGGTGACTTCCCAAGCAGCTCTCTCTATAGTTTTCTTCACAATAATGTGGGTGTGTGTCCGTGTTTCTATTGCTGCCTTCTTTCAACTCCTGGATCATAATCTGAGGGTTTTCTTGTGGTCTCCCATTCAAGGTGGAACCCAGCCAATCTCTGGTTGCCTTTTTGATATCAGTTGTGGTCAGACAAACACAAGGCACCAGTAAGTGAAGGGGGAAGGCAGAGACTTGCTGGAGGAGAAAAGGGGAACCAACAATTGTTTGCAGGACTATAAAAGAGCTTAAGGTTTTATTCCATCCATTCTTTGCCATTGCTCTTTTTTCTTTTGTGTCTCAAGTGTCTGGGCCTAGGAGCATTCTGGGAGATGAGAACGCTCCCATTTTAAGGACCACTTGGTCCAGCAGCCTCACCCCCTTCCCGTGCTTTGTGAATTATTTTTAACTACAGAGTTGATTTTCTGTGCAAATACATTGAGATGATGCTCAAATCACTATTTTAATTTAAATCCAGGGGAAAGGAGACATCTGTTATCTATGGCAATAAATATTCTGTCTCCAAGGGGTGCTGGGTTCATAATCCTAGGAATGCCAGTGCTGCACTGAAATTAAACCAGAGATTTCTTGAACCTTTTGTGTTTCCCTTTGGACACTAGGTGGCAGGAGGAACCCAGGGATAAGAGAATTTGCAGCCTGAGAATTTTGGTAATGGCTGGAAATAGGATATGGGGATGCTTATTAATGGCAATTCCTTGGTCGGATTTTTTTAAAGGTTTTAATTTTTTTTAATTCTGAAACTAGTATGCTGCAAAGTAAAATCCAAGCTTCTAGAATTACTGTGCCTTTAAGTCCCCAAAAAATCCATTTGGTATGGTAGACAACATCCTGGGTAGTCTACCAGTTTTTTTCTGTTTGCCAATAGCTCTGCCCATTCTGGGTGGGTTTCCTGCCTGAGCAGGGGGTTGGACTAGAAGACCTCCAAGATCCCTTCCAACTCATTACTACCACCACCATCATCATCATCATCATCATCATCATCATCATCATCATCATTATTATTATTATTATTATTATTATTATTATTATTATTATAGCAATCTGAAGCCTATACTCACTCCATGCCTTGAAATGAGCCTCTGGGTCAAAAAAGGTGGCCTGCTTCTCCCTTAGTTGTGTGCAAATATGGCCATCGCATGGTGGAGGGAATCACTATCACTATATTTCACTATTGGTGAAAATAAGAAATCTGGACTCAGTTTTTCTCTTCTCTTTCCGTCAACTGGATTCACACAACAGGCTAAATCATAACTGCTTGGTAAGTTTGGTCTTGTGTGAACCCAACCACTGTGTCATATAACCTGTTCAGTTCAATTCAACTCAACTCAATTCAATTCAATAGCTTAATGTTTTGGTTTACCCAACAATGGCTTATTCAGTCAACAACAGTTAAGTAAATTGGTGACCTCGGCACCAATGTCTTGATCTATTGGTTATAAACAATGGATCAATAATAAAAAATAATAAATAAGTTATAATAAAGTTATAACATTAACCAATGCGTATCAAAGAGAGATCCATCCTAGAACATTCCTTCAGTAAGAACAATTGATCAGTGGAAAGGCTTGATCCAAAAGTCATGGGTGCTCCATCACCAGAGGTTTTTAAGAAGAAATTGGACAGCCATTAGTCCAGAATGGTGTAGGGTCTCCTGCTTTAGCACCCAAAGGAAGACATGGCTCTACTTGAGTACTGATCAACACCGATCTTCACCACAGGTCGACTAAATACAAGATGAGGCAGTGCAAGAAACAAGGAAGAGGCTCTATGGTTCTTATGGAGCAAGCTATATGCCCCTTTGCCCACCTCCTGCCCAGCAATCCTCCCCAGCAATCATGACCTCTTTAACATTTCATTTCCAACTTGAACAAACTACTGTTCTTGCTGGTATCCCAAACAGCATCGCCACTTGCCTCCCCCACCAGCCTTGGAGGTGCAAGCTTTGGAGAAACATCCATCCACTTGTTCGTTCCTTCCTTCCTTCCTTCCTTCCTTCCTTCCTTACTTACTTACTTACTTACTTTTACTAGGTTCGGGAGATGCTTTATTTATTTATTTATTTACTTACTTACTTACTTACTTACTTACTTATTTGCATAATTAATTATTTAGTTGCCCATCCCAAGCCTCTGACTCTGGCAGCTCCCAAACAGAAAATACAAAAAACAACACAACATCAAAACAACACAACTTCATACCTATAAGGAATTCTGCCATGTTCTTCATATGATGGGGGAGAGAATAGAGCAGAGTACCTGGACCAAGGGGAAGAAT